CACAACCTTGCTTGCTGAAAGTGAAGAGGACTTGAAGCACTTACTGATGAAGATCAAAGACTACAGCCTTCAGTGTGGATTGCTCCTCAACATAAAGAGAACAAAAATCCTCACAACTGAACCAATAAGCAACATCATGATAAACAGTGAAAAGACTGAAGTTGTCAAGGATTTCCTTTTACTTGGATCCAAAATCAACGCTCATGGAAGCAGCAGTCAAGAAATCAAACGACCCACTGCACTGGGCAAATCTCCTGCAAAAGATCTCTTTAAAGTGTTAAAAAGCAAAGATGTCACTTTGAGGACTAAGGTGTGCCTGACCCAAGCCATGGTATTTTCAACAGCCTCATATGCATGCTAAAGCTTGACAATGAATAAGGAATTCCGAACGAAGAAGAATTGATGCTTTAGAATTATGGTGTTGGCGAAGAATACTGAATATACCATGGACTGCCAGAGGAACAAACAAGTCTGTCTTGGAAGAAGTATAACCAGAATGCTCCTTGGAAGCAAGGACGGCGAGACTTTGTCTCACATACTTTGGACGTTTTATTAGGAGGGACCACATTCTTGGTAAAGTGGATGGTCAGTAAAAGAGAGGAAAACCCTCAACAAGATGGACTGACACAGTGGCTTCAACAATGGGCTCAAACATAGCAACAATTGTGAGGATAGTGCAGGACTGGGCAGTGTTTTGTTGTTGTACACAGGGCCGCTATGAGTCGGAACCAACCTGATGGCACCTGACAACAATAACATGGGGGAATTCTGATCTGTTAGTCCTATCCTCTCAGGGACCACACCTTGGTGGTCTTTGTGTTTCCCATCATTTGCCAGGGCAGTCCTCTCTCCCCACTGGGTTCTCAGAAGGTGCTACTGATCAGTTTCTCTGTCTGCCCTCACTGCAAAGTATGGGAGGGGAGGGGTGGAGGACAACAGTTAGGGACACAGACTCTCAGAGCCAGAAAGACCAGGAATCCCAGCTCTGCTCCTTATGGCCGAGTAGACTTGGGCAAACTGATTAATCTCACTGAGCTTCAACTGCCTCATCTGTAAAACCGGGTTATAATTCCTTCTTTATAGAGATGATGTACAAATTAAAAAACATAATATATATTAAATGCTGTATGGTACAAACTAAGCCTTTAATAAATAGTAATTATTAATATTGTACATAGTTTTTGAAATCTGCTGAAGTGTATCAAACAACTGATGAACACATCATTATAAACAAAATCAGTATTTTTTGACAAATCAATATCCAAAAAGAGACGTATGTTAACTTTCATCACCTTTAACATACTGTGACAAGCCTAAATTGATTAATATCTTTAAGTATTTCAATATTAGTTTTTTAAAAGTCCACTTCAACATATTGACAAAAAGCTTCATTCTTGGTAACTATTCACTGACCAATGCTCATCCTCTCTTTCCTGTGCTTTCTCGTAATATAAACTCTCAGAGTGAAGAAATCATGGTGCTCCCCAATACACTGTTCTGTAGATAATGAAGACGAAACAGAGCCATCAACTTTCAAGCCACCTCTGATTGGGGTTACTAAAATAACAAACAGGTAAACATCTTATGATTTTAAAATTGTCCTAAAAAAGAACAGAGAAAGTATAGCATACTGATTTTGTGATCAAGGTTTTCTCACCTCTTCTCCACTGTACTGCTTCAAACAGTGCAAAAATCGGCATGTGTTAGAAAGCCAGAAGGAGACGGTTTCAAAATCATCACCTCTTTTCTGAAACAGAGAAGAAGTCTAAATTTGCTTTTTCCTTAGGGAAATAACCTGAAAAAAATGGAACAGATACCAGAAAGCTAACAGAATTCCAACCACTGGGTTCTCTGGTTGGTTGTTACTCTGCTTGGCATCCATTTTCCTGCCATTAGAAAAATGATTCCCCACTCATTCAGCTGATGGTAACATAGCCGTCCCATTAAGCTGAAAAAATTCACCAAGTCACAGCTCACCCAAACTTACTTCCCTTGGAGTACTGAAAGGACTAAAAGCAAAAACGGGAATCAGAAATATCGTAATAAAAAATATCAAAAAGAGTTTGAATTACTTAAACTCAGATTAGGTTAAAAATCTTATCAGTAATAAGGTAAAATTTCTGAGCCGTGAGTCAGAGATAGGAAGGAGGAAGTCTTGTACTGAGCTGGTCAGATAGGGGGCGCTCACCACAGCTGGGCCACAGTGGCAGGAAGAAGATACAGACTGACTCATTGTGCCTGAAAAAGACACCGGCTGGGAAGTGCCTTTCAGCCATAGGGGGCTGATTAACAGACACACTGGAGAGGATCATGATTTTGTGAATGAGACCATCATTGACTAGTTTGGATATGCAAATTCACAGAAATTTCAATGTTTGTCTACACCTTTGCCTGGCATTAAATGGCCATGTTTTGATCTTACAAGTTCATTCAGTTTTTTCCCCCATTATATCATCTATTCTAACAACTGTAGTACTACACCACAACAGAATTTAGGTTCTTAGAAGCTATGTGAGAATACTTGCCTTTTGTTCTGAGGTCATGGCTTTTATGTACTAAAAGTTAGTAGGAGAAGGATATATGCGGAAAGATGGGGTTCTTATAAGATTTTTTTTTTATATACCACAAATAACAAAAAAAAAAAGCAAAATGAAACAAACTAAAGCCCTTGAAATTTTATTTTCCTAAAGAGCCTTTTTTTTTTAATCTTAGAGAATATCAAACCTATGTAACTTAATTTTTTTAGCTGAGACAAGTTAGTTAAGGTCCTGACTTTACCACTAGCTAAATACCTGATAGACTAAACTATACATTCTTCCAGTTTTAGGAAGATTGCCAGAAAGTTAAAAAAAAAAAAAAAAAAATGACACTCTGATAATCAGAAAATCATCCTATGGCTTAAGCACAGATTTGATTAAAAATAATTTACTCTTTCCAAAAATGTGTATTTCACTTGTTCCTTATGGTGGCTTTGGGCTGAGCTAACAAAGGCCATCAGCTCAGGATGGCATGTGAGAGAGATGTTACTAACGTACTTCTCCAGACAGTCTTCACTGGTTTCTAGACAAGCTGAACTGCAGAGATCCTCAGAACAACCTCAGTTAGGACCTTGTGATTGCATCCGTACTAAAGAATTACCAGATAAAGTCGATCAGAACCTAAGGAGAAGACTTCATTCCAGAAATAAGTCACGATCTGTTTCACTAGTGGGTTCCAACCTTTGCTAAGATAACTTTTAAACAAATTAACCCTACAATTTCTTTCAGCACGGACACTAAGTGAGGCCTCTGTCATCTTTAAAAAAGGTATTCTATATTATTTCAAAATATAAGATCAATTCATTTCCCCAAGGTCTTGAAGAAGCAAAATCCCACAATTAACCTTTGATAAGATATTTTGCCCAATCCAGTCAAAGTCCAGGCGCAGGACCACGGACAACTACAACAGACTGACTGGTATCGGGTGAAGCTGAAATCATGAAGGCTTTCACTTTTCTTTCATCTGATTTTCCAGTTCAGCCATTTCTTCCAGGTAAAAGTCAGTGACCGACACAGGCTACGATGCCAGATTGTATGATGTGTACCATTGTCCTATAAAGATCATTTTTCACTGGTTATGATTGCACTGGATCATCTGGACAGCAAGCTGCTGTGGTCATGGGGAATTGGCTTGTATACAAGGCCTCACGCTGTGATAGTTTTACATGTCATATCAAACTTTCAGAATGTTGGAGAAGTGACACTAAGGAGAAAACTGTGGCTGTATCAGTTCCTCTGAACTGACCTTCAAGTGGAACAGACGTGGAGACAAATCCTGGTTCTGCAGCTTGCTAGGGGTTTAACCCTTGAGAAAGGTACTTGACTTCTCTGTTTCTCAAATTCTTCCTCTGTAGAATAGGGATAAATTATCCTACTTCACAGAATTTCTGTCAGCCTTAATTGCTATTATGCAATACATATTATCCAATTTATCTGTGGCAGTGAGGTGGGTAGAACTTTATTTTCCTATTTTAATTTATTTGGGAAGCGTAATAAGGGAACAAAAAAATAAGATCACTTACTTTTTTGGCAATTTAAAAAATTTTGAAACTGAATGCTGACTCTCTCCTCAAGAAGTCACGAGATCAAGTTTGCCAAAATAATACTTTTACAATGAACAAACTATATCTGGTCAAAATTAAACAATCAATCAATTTTATTTCTTATACCGCTCAGAGGGAAAATAATTAAGATCAACTCAAAGCTTTTTGCAGTCTTTGATTCAATAAATAAAAATTATTTGTGAGATTAAAAACTACATGGATTTTCCATATATCTTTGGCTAGTTATGCGTGTTAAGAGCCCATATGAAAAAACCAGTTACTAAAATCAAAATATGTATGCAAGACACAAATACACTTCAATTCAAAACAGGGATGGGAGACAAACACACATTTTAAATGGTGTTAAAATAGTGTTAAGTTCTAGTAACCGCTGCTTGAAAATCTTCATATAATTTGGCCCAATAATCAGTCAAACTAGATAGATGTCTCTTCAATAAAGATCAGGGGAACAAAATTTATTATTTAGTTTTGTTGCCTTTTTTGTAGGAGCTGACTTTAGAAGCTGTAAAACTTGTACTTTATGTAAGTGCAAGACAGCATCAATATACCAAAAATTCTACAAGTTATATTTGGAAAGCATCCACCAATTTTTAATGGTAAATCTTTAGAAACGCCACACTTTAGTAACCACTGTAAAATGCAATTACATTGAATATGTGCACAATGGGTATTGACTGAGAGCCAGTATTTGTCAGAAGTTCATTAAAGACGTGAGAGTGGAGGTAGTCCACTGGGCATAGTAACTGTCCATTTATCTCCATCCTTGGAGTTCTCACTGAGTTGGATAACCAGAAAGCAAAGTACTTAGAGTACATTAGCTTAGCTCCTCACAGAAATACTCGAGTTAAAATTAAGTATAATGCTAATTTGCTTTTCTGGAGAGTCAAGAGGAAGATTATGCAATATGACTCAGTGATTATGTGGGCTTTTCTGCTCTGTTATATAATTTTGCTGTCTTTCCTAAATCTTTCCTTTCTGATTAAGACCTGCGTTTTGCTTCTCACATGGAACCAGGCACCTTAGATAACAAGGAAATTTTGGGGTGAGCTAGAGAAGAATAGGAAGAAAAGTTGGATGAAGAAATTTAGTGTTTTATCAGACATCTTTTTCATATAACGAGCCATGTGTTACTGCACTCACCTACCATCTCCTTTAACTACAACATCACGTTCCCTGTACACTGCATACATGGATTCCACTAAATACTTATAATTCAGTTTCAAGTAAAACCCAAAAGCAGACTATTTCTGTCTATGAAGAAACAATCTGCTTTACAATTAAAGGCAATTGTATCAGATTAATTTTTATTTCCGTTCATCTTGAACCCTGTTTTGAAAGAAGGCACACACATTGTAAGGCACATCCAAGTTAACAATAGAAGTTATCAGTTAAGACTGGAGACTTCCTTCTAATAAAGGAAAAGCACATCTGTGTACATTCCATCACCATTAATATTTACTATGAGAATTTTGTTGAACATGAACTGACCTTCAATACTTTTTTGATGCTGTTAATTGTTGATGTTAGCAATGACCTTACTTTCTGATCATCATTTAGGTAGTCAGCATGTCGAACACACATAAACAGGATGTACGCTGGTAACCCAGGAATCAGATTGACTGCTACACCACGTGGCTTCAGTTCTGGAAAAAAGAAAAGAAAAATAATCTTATATAAAAAGTCTTCATGAGAAATGCACTGTGAGACATAAAAGCAAAGCTATCATGAAAGAATTCAATTATTCAGGGTAAGTAGGTCACATTAAAAAGAAAAGATATTTTGATAGCTTATTCTTGAGGTTGGGGACATATGAATCTTAGCTGTCTATAGAGTGACAACTCCCAAATTTATATCTCCTACTCTCAACTCCAGTCTCGTGCATTAACTGCCTTCTTGCTATCTCTGCTCAGGCAGATCAAACAGCCTATCTCAAACCAAACTCTTGATTCCCCATGGAACCTGCTTTCCAGTAGTTTTCCCCATCTCCATAAACAGTAGTTCCAGTCTTCCAGTTTCAAAGGTATAAACCTGTGAGTCATCATCTTTGACTCTTTTCTTTCACATCCCATATCTAATCCATCAACAAATCCTGTTGACTCTACCTACAAAATATATACAGAATCCAACTGTTGTTGTTCTTAGGTGCTGTTGAGTCGGTTCCAACTCAAAGCAACCCTACGTACAACAGAACGAAACACTGCCTGGTCCTGTGCCATCCTCACAATTGTTGCTATGTTTGAGCCTATTGTTGCAGCCAGTGTGTCAATCCATCTCATCAAGGGTCTTTCCCTTTTTCATTGACCCTCTACTTTACTAAGCATGATGTCCTTCTCCAGAGACTGGTCCCTGATAACAAGTCCAAAGTACATAAGATGAAGACTCACCATCCTCGTTTCCAAGGAGCACTCTGGCTGTACTTCTTCCAAGACAGACCTATTTATTCCTCTGGCAATATTCTTCGCCAACACCATAATTCTAAAGCATCAATTCTTCTTCGGTCTTCCTTATTCATTGTCCAGCTTTAGCGTGCACATGGGGCGAGTGACCTTAGTCCTTAAAGTGACATCTTTGCTTTTCAACACTTTAAAGAGATCTTTTGCAGCAGATTTGTCCAATGCAGTGGGTCATTTGATTGCTTGACTGCTGCTTACATGAGCGTTGATTGTGGATCCAAGCAAAATGAAATCCTCGACAACTTCAGTCTTTTCACTGTTTATCATAATGCTGCTTATTGGTTCAGTTGTGAGGATTTTTGTTCTCTTTATGTTGAGGTGCAATCCATACTGAAGGCTGTAGTCTTTGATCTTCATCAGTAAGTGCTTCAAGTCCTCTTTACTTTCAGCAAGCAAGGTTGTGTCATCTACATACCACAGGTTGTTAATGAGTCTTCCTCCAATCCTGATGCTGTGTTCTTCTTCATATAGTCCAGCTTCTCCGATTATTTGCTCAGCATACCGATTGAATAAGTATGGTGAAAGGATACAACCCTGACACACACCTTTCCTGATTTTAAACTACACAGTATCCCCTTGTTCTGTTCGAATGACTGCCTTTTGGTCTAAGTACAGGTTCCTTATGAGCACAATTAAGCATTCTGGAATTTCCATTCTTTGCAACCTTATCCATAATCTGTTACGATCCACACAGTCGAATGCCTTTGCACAGTCAATAAAAACACAGGTAAACATCTTTATTGTATTCTCCGCTTTCAGCCAAGATCTACCTGATATCAACAATGATAATCCTCATTCCATGTCCTCCTCTGAATCCAGCATGAATTTCTGACAGTTCCCTGTCGATGTGCTTCTACAACCCTTTTTGAATGATCTTCAGCAAAATTTTACTTATGTGATATTAATGATATTGTTTGATAATTTCTGCATTAGGTTGGATCACCTTTCTTTGGAATAGGCAAAAACAGGGATCTCTTCCAGTCAGCTGACCAGGTAGCTGTCTTCCAAGTTTCTTGGCATAGACAAGTGAGCACCTCCAGCACTGCACCCATTTGTTGAAACATCTCAATTGGTATTCTGTCAATTCCCGGCGTCTTCTTTATTGCCAATGTCTTCAGTGCAGCTTGGACTTCTTCCTTCAGTACCATCGGTTCTTGATTATATGCCACCTCCTGAAATGGCTGAACGCTGACCAAATCTTTTTGGTACAGTTAATCTGTGTATTCCTTCCTCCTTCTTTTGATGCTTCCCATGTCATGATTTTGCCCATTTAAAAAAAATACAAAAAACAAAAAAACCCCATTGCCATCGAGTCGATTACAACTCATAGCGACCCTACAGGACAGAGCAGAACTGCCCCATAGGGTTTCCAAGGAGCGGCTGGTGGATTTGAACTGCCGACCTTTTGGTCAGCAACTGTAGCTCTCAACAACTGCACCACCAGGACACTACAGAATCCTTCAAAATTGCAACTTGAGGCTTGAATTTTTTCTTCACGTCTTTCAGCTTGAGAATGTCGAGTGTGTTCTTCCCTTCTGGTTTTTGAACTGCAGGTCTTTGCACATTTCATTATACTACTTTACTTTGTCTTCTGGAGCTGACCTTTAAAATCTTCTGTTCAGTTCTTTTACTTCATCATTTCTTCCATTCGCTTTAGCTACTCTACGTCCAAGAGCAAGTTTCAGAGTCTCTTCTGACATCCATTTTGGTCTTTCTTTCCTATCTTTTTAATGACCCTTTGCTTTTTTCTATGTATGATGTCCTTAATGTAATCCCACAACTCATCTGGTCTTCAGTCATTAGTGTTCAATGCATCAAATCTATTCTTGAGATGGTCTGCAAATTCAGGTGGTATATATACAAGGTTGTATTTTGTTTCTCGTGGACTTGTTTTAATTTTCTTCAGCTTCAGCTTAAACTTGTATGTGAGCAATTGATGGCCTGTTCCACAGTTGGCCCCAGCGTTGTTCTAACTGATAATATTGAGCTTCTCCATCATCTTTCCACAGATGTAGTTGATTTGATTCCTGTGTTTTCCGTCTGGTAAGGTACACACATGTATAGCTGCTGTTTATGTTGCTGAAGAAAGATATTTGCAATGAATAAGTCGTTGGTCTTGCAAAATTCTATTTCATGGTCTCCTGTGTCATTTCTACCACTAAGGCCTTAGTTTCCAACTACTGATCCTTCTTTGTTTTCCAACCTTCACATTCCAATCACCAGTAATTATCAATGCACCTTGATTGCATGTCTGATCAATTTCAGACTGCAGAAGTTGGTAAAAATCTTCAATTTCTTCGTCTTTGGCATTAGTGGTTGGTGCGTACATTTGAATAACAGTAATATTAACTGGTCTTCCTTGCAGGTGTATGGATATTATCACTGACAGCGTTGTACTTCAGGATAGATCTTGAAGTGTTCTTTTTGATGATGAATGCAACACCACTCCTCTTCAATTTGTCACAGACCATATGATTGTCTATTCAAAATGTCCAATACCAGTCCATTTCAACTCACTAATGCCTAAGATAGTGATCTTTAGGCATTCCATTTTATTTTTGATGACCTGCAATTTTCCTAGATTCATACTTTGTACATTCCACGTTCTGATTATTAATGGATGTTTGCAGCTGTTTCTTCTCATTTTGAGTCATGTCACATCAGCAAATGAAGGTAGTGAAAGCTTGACTCCATCCACATCATTAAGGTTGACTCTACTTTGAGAAGGCTGCTCTTCCTCAGTGTATTTTCAGTGCCTTTCAATGTGTGGGGCTCATCTTCCCACACTATATCAGACAATGTTTTGCTAATATTCATAAGGTTTTCACTGGCCATTTTTTCAGAAGTAGACCACTAGGTCCTTCTTCCTAGTCTGAGTCTGAAAGCTATGCTGAAGCCTGTCCACCATGGATGACCCTGCTAGTATTTGAAATACGGGTGGCATAGCTTCCAGCATCACAGCAACACCCAAGCCACCACAGTATGACAAACTGACTGATGCGTGGTGGCAGAATCCAATTGCTTCTCACCAATTCTGCTAGGTAGTTTAGGCCACCATCGTGTCTCTCCTGTATTGCCACAATAGCTTTCTAACTGATCTCCCTGATCCATCCCTTGCTCCCCAATAGTGCATTTCCCCACACAATAACTAGAGTAATTCTCTAAGAAAATGTAGGCAAGATGACGTCACCCCTGTTCTAAAAAGTTTCTAAGTAGTTTCTCATCTCCTTCATTTATAAAATCCAAAACCCTCCCCGTGGACTGCTAGCACCTATGTGACTGGTCCTGTTCCCCTTACCCCCAGCCTCAGGTCACTCTGCTACAGTCAAACAGGTCTTTTTGATGTTGTTTGAACTTGCCAGGCATGCTCTCACCTCAGGACCTTGTACTTACTATTTTTCTGCCTAGAATCTTCTTTCCTCAGATATTAGCATGATTTGTTTCTTCATTTCCTCTGATCTCTGTCCAAAGATCACCTTGTCAAAAGCCCTTCCTGATAACTTTGTATAAACCAGTACACCTGCCTTCACTCTTTATCCTTTTAACCCCATTATAGATTTATTGTGTTTTTTCTCTACATTCCTCCTGCTAGAATATAAGCTCTAGAGAATAGGGACTTGAGTTTGTTCATTACCCAGTACTAGAAAATGCCTGGTACATGGCAGAAGCTCAGTAAATGTTTGTTGAACAGATGATTCTTTGTTAACTCTAGCACTTAAAAACCAGTGGCTCCTTAACATTTTTGCAAAATAAAGATCGTGTTGAAACTTACATGCCTCTGCACCTATATATAGTACCAAGTTTAATGCCATGAACTCCAGGAACATTAAATCAGGTATAACTGCCAATCATATTGCTATCACCTTGGCCCCTGAGGGGAAGAACACTATGCAAAGTCTGAGTTCATAAGCTCAGCTCCAAAGTTATGGATATGTGAACTCTCTAATTATTTCCTATCCCCTCTGCAGAGTTCCTTCTGCAGAGCCAGCAGGCTCATGCCCAATCTTAAAGGCCTTATGCTGCTCTGAAACACCACCTCTGCTCCCATCCCAGTTGTCTGTCCTTTCCTTCTATTGCCAAACCTTTTTCTTAACTCCTTTGTTTCTTCTCTATTATTATTAAACTGTGTTCCTGGACATATTAGAGATATACTTTTCTAGGTAAGTAAGGAAAAATGGAAATTCAGGTATCTAAACAGCCTACAGCAGTGAGTACTGTTCAACTGTGGCTATACTGCAGAATCTTTTGAGAGGTTTGTAAAAAAAAAATGCTACACATGGCTAGGCTCTCCCCGTAGAGATTTTGATTTAATTGGCCTGGAGTGGGGGCCATACATTAATACGCTTAAAAGCTTCCCAGGTGATTCTAATATGCACTAGTTCTAGCCTCAAAGGATCCTTAACAGTGGATCTGTCTTAGCTATCTAGTGCTGCTATAACAGAAATACCACAAGTGATTGGCTTTAACAAACAGAAGTTTATTCTCTCACAGTTTAGAAGGCTACAAGTCCAAATTCAGGGTGCCAGCTCCAAGGGAAGGCTTTCTCTCTGTTGGCTCTGGGGGAAGGTCCCTGTCTCTTCAGCTGGTTTCCTGGTTCCTTGGAGATCTCTGTGTGGCTTGGCATCTTCCCCCATCTCTTCTTGTTCGCTTGCTTGTTTAATCTCTTTTATATCTCAAAAAAGACTGACTCCAGATACACCCTACACTAATCCTGCCTCAGTAACATAACAAAGACAATCCATTCCCAATGGGATTATAACCACAGGCATAGAAGTTAGGATTCGGAACATATATTTCTGGGAGACATAATTCAATGCATAACAGGGTCCTAGGCACTGTCCCTGCAGCCTGACTGATAATGCCTGAGGTGGCCAGGACACTCTTCCAGCACTATAATGGACAGTATGTAGTGATGACTGCAAGAAACTCCAACGTGGGATATTTCAAAAATTAGTGACTTTTTCCTACCAATAACACATGCACCAGACTTTTATCCCATGCAGAAAATACTTACCCAGAATCAGGTTCTTAACAAGTTTTTGCTCATCCTCCTTCTTGTATTCCAGCATTCCTTGGAAATCCTTTTCTTTCCTGGGAATGTTGACTGGACGGATAGGTTCATCAATGATCTGTCCTGGGGATATGCTCTCCATCTGGCCCACTTCATGAGGAACGAAAAGAAGAAAATGTTTTCCAGGCAGAAAAGATGGGCGAGTTTTAGCTAACTAAAATTTAAAATGAAGTCTATAGGGAAAAGGGGGTTAACGGTGATGGAAAAAATGCACTGATTAAGGGTAAGGTTGCACAGCTGATTATCTTAAGTGCTGTCAATAAGTTATACACCTGTAAAAAGTTGAGCTGGCAAAGGTTGTGTGATAGATATATTTACAATGACAAAAAAAAAAGAGTAGCTGCTGAAGCTGCTTGTTACAACCAAATACCTCATGGGATTTGGTTCCTTGGTTTGGAGGTTTAGGGTCATAGTTTCATGGGACATCCCAGTTAATTGGCCTAATGGTATGTTTGGTGCTTCTGTTCTACCTCCTAGTTCTTTGTGTAGTGCCTGGGGTCTTAAAAGCTTGCAAGTGGACATCCAAGGCACAACAAGAAGTATCTATCCACTGGGAGCAACAGAGGAAGAAGGGAGAGTCAGGAACAGGAGGAGGAAATAGAATGTGTGTTTGATTGCCTCCATGAACAACTGCCTCCTTTGTCATGAGACCAGAAGAACTGGATGGTGCCCGGCTACCATTACTGAACATTTTGATCAAAGATTCCATAGAAGAATCCTGATCAAAAGGGGAAAAATACAGAACAGAATTTCAAATTCTCATGGACTCCAGACTTCCTAGAGCCATGGAGGGTGGATTAACCCCTGAAACTATTGCTCTGAGATCATCTTTAAACCTTAAACCAAAAACGTCCCCTAAAGTCTTCTTAAAACGAAACAATAGTTTAGCTTAACTACTAAAAAAAAGTCTGCCTTGAGCATTATGCTCTTTTAAGAACTATCTATCTATATGGGATCAAATTTACAACAGCAACTCAAAAAATTAGCTAGGAACCTTAAGGGGTAGTGAGCTTATGTTAATGGAGGAGGAACAACTCTGAAAAGGAGGGTGAGAATGGTTGCAAAAACTCGAAGAATGTAATCAATGTCACTATATTGTACATGTAGAAACTGTGGAATTGGTGTATGTTTTGCTGTGTACATTCTCAACAGCAACAACAAAATAAATTATTTTTAAAAAAATGAAGTCTACAACAACAGAAATGTACCATATTTACCACTCAACTGCCCCTGCTTAAAGTATTTTTTTCTATGGGTAGATAGATGTCAAAATTTATACTGTAATGTCACTCTGACAGCCACTAGTCCTTGACTATGACCAATTTCAAAGGTCCTTACCTGATTCAAAACCTTTAAGGCTACTAATAGTCACTTGTTTTGCAGAAAGACTGAAGGTCCTAAAAGTAAGTCGTTTAACTTTTGGTTAACTAATCAGTAACTATCAGAAATGTTAAAGATACTTAGACGTTAATTCACAGAAGGGAAAACCAATATTCTACCAAGCAGCAGCAAGAATATAAAAGATTTCCCCTCCTATTTAGCTCTACGAATCTAGTCACTAAAGAAAAAGGACATTTACTAGAAATGCATCATTGCAATCATTCAGACCACATCGAGATAGCTGGCAGAATAGTGCTTCTCCACAACAGTTGATGTGAAAATGTATTATTTTTCACTAAGACGTCATAAAGCAAAGATCTTTCTCCTCCCACCCCTCATTCACAAAAAAATTATGAGCAGATAAAACAACTCTATTTAATATATCCTAAATACTTTCCGGTTTTGTTTGCTTGCTTGTTTGTTTTTAGTAGAGTGCTAAAAGACCTACTGTGAAGTTGCACCACTGAAGCACAACCCCCTTCAGATGCTAAAAATGGTCACTGTTATCAATGGCAGCCACTAGAGAAGAATTATGCTGAGGGAAAAAAATGTCTCCAATTTCATCTCAAAATTGAAAACTGAATGGGAAATGCAGGGGAGGGCAAGGGGACATGAGTTATCATTATGTTTGTAGAGAGAGAGGCTAGTGAGCAGGTTTCTAAATTTTTTATCCACAGGAAAAAGAGGTTAAGAAATCTACTTAAGCACAAATTAGGTTTCATTTCAGAGGCTGTTGTCAAACAACGAAAATGCAGATCAGGTGCAGAAACATCAGAACGTTTACTGTCGCTGACTGGAGGAGTGAGGAGCACTGCTTTTGTCGCTCTGGGCAGTTCCTGTGTTAGTTCTAAGAAGCCAGTTCCACAGGAAGAGGTTATCACAGAGAACACCAATACCTGACGGTGCGTGGCTTAGGCATGAAACACAACCACAGGGCAGTGGCTGCGGCGGGAGCGTGGTGACACATCATCCACCTCATGGTGCAGTATCACACACCGGAATTATCCACAACTGAAAATCTGGTGCAGGTAACGCCACCACCATCCACCAACGCTATGACATCTGAAGAATGATCATACTGCCATTGGACAAATCAAAGGTATGGCCATCTCCCACAGTCTACTGTCTCATGTGCATGATGCAGTCTGAAAGTCAGGGGACTAACTGTAAAATATATTTCTCTATACAAGAGAACAGAAGACTCAAATTGCTTAGTTTACATAAATTATTCCTGGAGAAAGTTTAAATACAATACCACAAGGACCTGTGAAGCTGCACAAAGTGGCCTCCACAGCTCATGTGAAATCAAAATAATAAGATCCCATTCATCTATGTTACCAGTTACTTTAAACCACAGATACTTTTAAGATGGGAAACTGAGAGGAAAGATTTATATTGTTCTTGATAAATGCACGTATTTGGACTCCACATAACCCAAAGAGAATGTTTTAAACGTACTGATTTCATTATATTTAAGATGCCATTGATTGTGAGATATATCATTATTTTATATAACACTGAAAAAGGAAAAACACTGTCAATTAAATTACAACCCACCAACAATTTTTTTTTCATTCCTCACTCTGGGGTTTTTTTTGTGTGTGTGTGCATTAGCTGGAAGGTTACAGAGCAAATTAGTTTCTCATTCAACAATTTATACACAAATTGTTTTGTGACAGTGGTTGCAATCCCCACAATGTGTCAACCTTCTCTCCTCCATCCTAGGTTCCCTGTTTCCATTCATTCCATTTTCCTGTCCCTTCCTGCCATCTGGTCTTTGCTTTTGGGCAGGTGTTGCCCATTTGGTCTCATTTACATGGCAGAACTAAGAAGCACGTTCCTCACGTGTTATTTTTGTTTTATAGACCTTGTAATCTTTGGCTGAAGGGTGATCTTTAGAAGTGACTTGAGTTCCGAGTTAAAAGGATGTCCAGGAGCCATAGTCTCGTGGTTCCTCTAGTCTCTGTCAGACTAGTAAGTCTGGTCTTTTTTTGTGAATTTGAATTTTGTTCTACATTTTTCTCCTGCTCTGTCTGGGACCCTCTACTGTAATCACTGTCAGAGCAGTCTGTGGTGATAGCCAGGTACCATCTAGTTGTTCTAGCTCAGGCTGGTGGAGGCTGTGGTAGTTGTGGTCCATTAGTCCTTTGGCTTAACACTTCCCTTGTGTCTTTGGTTTTCTTCACTCTCCTTTGCTCCGGACAGGATAGGACCAGTAGATGTATCTTAGATGGCCACACACAAGCTTTGAAGACCCCAGATGCTACACACCAAAGTCAGATGTAGAACATTTTTTTAATGAACTATGTTATGCCAATTGACCTAGATGTCCCCCAAGACCATGATCCTCAGCCCTTAGCCCAGCAACTAGGTTCCTCAGGGTGTTTGGATGTATCTGTGAAGCTTCTATGACTTTGCCTTGGTCGCACTGTGCTGACTTCCCCTATAGTGTGTACTGTCTTTCCCTTCACCAAAGTTACCACCTATCTACTATTTAGTGATTTCCCTCCCCCCTCCTCCCCTCCTCTCCCTCATAACCATCAAAGATTGTTTCTTTCTGTGTGCAAACCTTTTCTTGAGTTTTTATAATAGTGGTCTCATACAGCATTTGTCCTTTTGTGGTTGAGTTATTTCACTCAGCATAATGCCCTACTGATTCATCCATGTTATGATATGCTTCATGGATTCATCATTGTTCTTAATCGTTGTATGTATGTACCATAATTTGTTTATCCATTCATCTGTTGATGGGCACCTAAGTTGTTTCCATCTTTTTGCTATTGTGAGTCATGCTGCAATGAACATGGGTGTGAATATGTCTATTCGTGTGACAGCCCCATCAACAATTTTAAGACACGGTTCCAATTTTAAAGATGTTAAAATGTGAAAAACTATGCATCTCAGAATTGATTACATATGGTAAATATTTTTACTAAGAGCTCTCATGTTTCACAAGAAAGTTTCACTTTCCTTCTGAAAAATCTCTAACTAGGATATTTTTGGTACAACACTTTCATCAAAATGTTTCTTTCTGCTTTTGTACTCTCTCTAGAGAGATCTGTGTCTTTACAAAACCTCACAGATGAAAACACAGATGTCAGCTCAACATAACCTTGATTTATTTGGCAAAATTATCTATTAATTGAAATAACATGTCAACCCTCATTTAGCATCTGGAAAATATAAAGCCTAAAAGAGACAAGCCAGCACACCACCCCAGTTTTCAAAGACTAAAGAGACCTTGGAGTCCTTCTGTCCAATGCCCCATATAACACAGATATCCTTTTGAAAGACCTGAGCAATCCCTATTTCCATTTTCTAGACTCCTTATATTTGAGGGAAAACTACTTGTGAAACGTTTTGTCCTGGAAAAGGAAAGGACACTTGGAAAAAAAAATTTATTTTTTCCTAGTTTTCCTCACTTTGGCATCAGAAGATCTTGATCTCAGGTTTAATGGAGACGGTAAGGTAAGTTGCTACAAATAGAGCAATTCTGTTGAGATATCACTGCACTGGCTCTCAGAAGGCCTAGTTTCTAGTCCCAATTCGGCCACTGACTGACTGAGAGACCTTTAGTAAAAGTTGCTCAGTTTCTGGGCCTCAGTTTTTTCTCCTATAAAATAACGGAATCATCTATATGAGACCAAAAGGGCAACATCTGCCCAAAAGCAAAGATGAGAAGGCAGAAAGGGGCAGGAAAACCAGAAGAATGGAAACAGGGAACGGAAGGTGGTAATGGGGAGAGTGCTGACACATTCCGGGGATTGCAACCAATGTCACGGAGCAATGTGTGTACAACTATTGAATGGGAAACTAATTTACTCTGTAAACCTTCACCTAAAGCACAATAAAAAAAAAATATAAATAATTAACTGATTTCTAGAACACTTTCAGTCTAAATTTTCTGACTATAAAAATTAAGATGCAACACCCACTCCTGGATGAAAATACAGGACAAAGCAGATCAAATTTTGAAAGACTCTGCATTTAACTTTGTAATTTCTGCTAAAAATTATATATGTCAGTGTTAAATGAAACTCAGCTGGCTTCTAAAAAAGTCTGTTTAATTAAGGGTAGCCTACAGGAGGAGGCAAGAGTATTGCTATTTTAAACCAGAATTTAAGTGTGTGGTAATATATTTAAAGAAAAAGAAAGAAAATGTGTAGTTGGTCTACAAGATCAGCAGTATTTTCTGTATAATGATGGGGGGCAGGAGTGCAGAGGGGCAGGAGGAGAAAAATGTTTAAGAGTTTGTCACCTTTATTCTCTAATGTAGGGTGGAGGGAGGGCAGAGATACTGCACTCAGCAAGTGCCCAAGTCATATACATCTATTTTCTAGATAAGTATAATTTAATTAACAATATAACTCTGTGTAAGTACTATTATGCCTTTTTTGTTTAATCTATGAATTGGCCTCTCAAATGGTATGATTAGGTTTAAGAACATAGCTGGCAGGATAGTCTGAGTTCTGATTGACAATGGTTTAAAATTCCCAACATCTTGAAATATTCTAACCTCTCTCTTTAATTAAAAATATACATATCAAAGAAAGCTGATTAAAAACATAAAATAATGAATGGCTTTTGTATTTATCAAAATGTACTCAAGTATGGTCAAGGAACCATTAGAGTTTACAAAATTGAATAATCTCACAAGTTAATAACCTTAAAATTGGTTTCTTATAAGCAAATACTTTGTTGTCTCATTATCATCTCATGATATAATTAGTGTAGAGTTAAGTGCAGAAAAGTTCTCTAAATAAAGATTTTTAAGTTTTGCAACAGACACAATAGCCTGCATGTGTGTGACTGTGTGACTTGGAGGTTCAAAAATTTTAAAGGGTAGAGAGGTAGTAAGGAGCTCTGGTGGAGCAGTGGTTAAAACACTCAGCTGCTAACCAAAAGGTCGGCAATTGGAACCCACCAGCTGCACCACAGGAGAAAGATGTGGCTGTGTGCTTCTGTAAAGATTTACAGTCTTGGAAACCCTATGGGGTGGTTCTACTCTGTCCTGCAGAGCTGCTATGAGTCAAAATGGATTCAACAGCAATGGGTATACAAGGAAGATAAGAGGGCAATGGCAGGTGATAAATCATTGCCTTCCGAGTATTATATATAAAATATGATTCTAAAGTAATCTGACTTTCTAAGAAAACATTTCAGAATTTGTACATCCAAGGGAGTGTTACCCTGTTCAAAGTAAACACCCACGTTGTCACTGTTCTAAATATTTCTAAAATTCATTTATTCACTCAACAAACATTTTATGATAGGTGAGACACTATGCTAGGTGCTGCGAAAACAAGGGGAAATAAGATGTGATTCCTATGCTCAGAAAGTTCAGAGTCTATTGAGGAAGCCAGTAATTCAAACAGAAAAAATATTAAAAATATGGCATAGTGAAAACCACGAAAGATGTGAGCCAAAGAGTAGTGCACAGAGAGCAGAGCCATGAGATGTGTCTGGATGATTAGGAAAGGCTGCTGCTGACATATGACTTGGTTTTCACAGGACGAGCAGAACTTGACCAGAAGAAGCAAGAAGGTCAAACAGAAGGAACAGCTGTGACAGGGCCTGGCATGTTTTTAGGAATGAAAACCACACTTAGAGTCAATCGTGGTAGATTCTTTTGAACATCCCTAGAGATGGAGAACCTTTATCCTTTGAGCCAAGCAAGGATTAGGAAGAGTGACAGTAAGAGAATAAGATGGCAGTCAGGCTGAGCAATATCACTTGTGGTCAAAATGAGAATGGCTTGCGTGGGTTTGAAGGCGAATTCTAGAGGGGCTCTAAAATCTCTCGAGCAGTGGATGTGTTCTTGGGATAAGCTCAGAAACTGGCTTCCACTGCTATCTTCCTGGCATCTAGAACAGTGCCTAACACATAGTAAGAACTCAATAAATAGCTGTTGAATGAGTAAACACACTAATCCACAAGATAAGACTCATTTGTATATTATAATAACAACTGACATTCATTAGTTCTCAAGGTGTTTTTCCATCACCATCATACATAAATAATGGATATTTGTTTTAAAAAAAGAATCTTGTTTCTTCATAATCATAACTCATACTTCATTTACTTTTTTCTCCATTAATATGTGAGTTCTTTGAGGGCACAGACTCTGTCTCATTTATCTTAACATCCCTAATAATAACAGTAATGATAACAGCTAAGTTGTATACAGCATATACTATGTGTCTGGTACTATTCTAAATATAGTTACACATGTAAACTCATTTAATCCGTACAAACCATGTCAGGTAGATACCATTATCATTCCCACTTAAAAGATGGGAAAATTGAGGCACAGAGAGGTTCAAAAACTTGTCCAGTATCATATAACTAATAAGTGGTATGGAGTTCCCGGCTGGGGCAAATGGTTAATGTGCTTGGCTGCTGACTAAAAGGTTGGGGGTTTGAGTCCACCCAGAGGTACCTCAGAAGAAAGGTCTGGTGATCTACTTCTGAAAAATCTGCCACTGAAAGCCCTACGGAGCACAGTTCTACTGTGACACACATGGGGTTACCATGAGTTGGAGTCGACTCAAAGGCAACTGGTCATAAGTGGTAGAGCTAGGATTGAACCCAAGAAGCTTGGCCCCAGGATCCATTCTTATGACCTCTCTGCTGTGCTTTGGCATACAGAAGATATTCATTAACTATTTGTTGAATGAACGAATTCTCTTTCTTGGTAAATTACTATGACCAGAAAAAGAACAGCATTTCCCCTCACCTGGCAGTGGAAATTTCCACGCCCAAGGTCAGCTTTGCCTAGTCATTTTTTGTTATCATCCATAATATTCACAAGCAAGTCAGGTGATTCATGTAGTCATACAAAACCAAGATTCAGCAACAGTCATAAAAACGTGTTTAAATACCTTCTAGTTCACCAATTTTTTTGGCAAATACTTTCAGTTGTTTTTTCAGTTTCCGGACAGTCTTATCCTGTTTTTCAAGTTGTTCCATCAAATCCTAAAGATCAAAATGAAAAATAAAAAGATCAAAATAGGCTTTCTAAAATACACTGAGGAAACGCAGACACAAAATCACAAAAAACAGCACTGTTAGTTTTACATAAAAGCTCCAGAAAAGCTCATTGGTGGAGCCACCACGTGGCTAAAAGTGGCAGGCACAGGAAATGCAGCTCCAATAAAAGCCAAATGTTAAAATACACAGTGCAATATAATCCTTTACAGTGTGATGGGTAGCAAGCTCACTGCGGAGTCTTTTCAAGTAGACTCCATACAAAAGCAGTAAAATACTCGTCAAATGTACTGTTATTCCACTGGAATGTTTTATACAGAGGAAATAGACAAAAAAAAATTTTGATGAATGCACAGAACATTTTGTGGGACGTTTTAAGGATGGTTGAGCTTTGGTAAGGGCTTTTGACTGACATCCCATGTGTGTGAATCACTGCTCTCCATGAAACTCACCTTGGAGATGCTAAAATTATCCCTGTAACTTAAGAATTTAAGTTCAGGGAATTAAAAGATAAGTTGAACACATATAACCACAGGGAATAGGATAAAGAGCAGTCTGCTGACCTAGGACCAAAGAGGTAAGTTCTCAGTGGCAGGTAGTGTAACATACCCATAATATTGGTGATATAATTTTGCTTATAGAAAAAAAAAGGTAATTCCAAATGCTTTATGCAAAGAGAGAAAACAAAAGAGGTACATTCAAGGCGGGTATAAAAAAAACCTTGTAATTATTGATGGGCTTTCTATTTAACCAAGAACTCTCTCAAACGACTGTGACAGGTAAAAAGTTAATAGTTAAGAAGAAAGTAAACACAGCAGGCTCCAAAAAAAAGCTTAGAAGGAAAATGAATCAAAGATATCCGTGGCTGTTATTCAGGTTATGGAGAAGAAAAGCATTTAAACAGCATAAATATTCATCCATTCTCCAGTTTAGACACGGGCAGATTTAGATACTAGACCAAAAGGAACATTCAAAAGGCACAATTGCTAACATTTCAAGTATTTGGTTGGGCTTCCTGGATTTTACTTTATCTTTCGAGTCACATTTTGCTTCCATCACACTGTAAGTCTAGTGTTAATAACAAACCAACAAGACAATGGACGCAGGACACTGACAGAGGTGATGCCACTGGCTGCGTGGGCTGTGAGGAGACAGACTTTTGTGAGTTTTTGAAGGACTTCCTGGGAAGGTGCAAGCAGCCAGTGTGCTCGTCAGTTACAGAGCCTAGAAAGAGCAAGAAAGACAATGGAAAAGCAGTCTGGGTTTACATACAATCATCCGTTTGTAAAGTGAAATCCGGTATGATTGATACTTCTTAGGGTCATCTGTACATAATTCCTCAAAATACTGAAAAAACAGGCACAACGGATATTTGTTTTTTTCTCTGTGTCTTTGAGGGGAATGCTACTTCTCAGCAAAATCAATTTAAAATGTTTTAAAATACAAATAATGAAACTGTATATAATACTCAAAAGGCAATGATTTATCACCTGCCATTTCCCTCTTATCTTCCTACTACACCCATTGCCAACGAGTCCACTCTGACTCACAGCGGCCCTATAGGACAGAGCAGAACTGCTTCATAGGGTTTCCAAGGCTGTAAATCTTTATGGAAGCAGACTGCCACATCTTTCTCCTGTGGAGAGGCTGGGTGGGTTCCAATTGCCAACCTTTTGGTTGGTTAGCAGCTGAGTGTTTAACCACTGTGCCACCAGGGTTCCTTTCTTTCTAGTATAGATGATTCTAATTAATATTATTATTATTTTGCATGAACATCAAGAAAAAGAAAAAGAAACAGGCTATGGCCAGGATGCCATTGTTCAAAGGCTGGCATTTCACTCCTCAGGCCTCCACCTGTTTCCTCCTAGCCTCCCCCACGTATCACGCTCACCAAGTTGCTGGACTTGTTTGCTGCCAATAGCAGCAAGAGTGGGGAAGGTAAGTAAACTGATAATGGCAATGTTTGCACTTTTGTTTGCAGGTGGAAAGGCTGGTGAGAAGCAGTGTGCCTTCCTCCACTCAAAGGTAGCATGGGTGAGGCCTGCGGAGCATGTTCACTGGAGAAAAACTGTTTTTTGTGTTTGTGATGGGAGGTTGGTGAGTTCGTGGGTAGGTGGGTTATGTGGGATAGAGTTCCCGAGAGCACTAAACCCAGGTCCACTGCTGCTTTAGTATTCTGCTCTAGTGTTTCCTAAGGAAATACACGGAATTAAGATTGAGAAACCATAATGACTTTGAACAAGTGTCATTTCAATTATTTATTTAAATTTGAATCCATTTCCCCTAATTCATAGTCAGTATAATGGCAGGAGAAGCAGCTGATCCAAAAACCTTTCTCCCTCGATACAGGCAAACTCATTAACTAGACTCTATAGTTTGGAATTTGGACTAGTTTATTTTCGTATTAGCTATGAAAAAGTGCCAAGCAAATTCATACTGCAAACAAAGTTACAAGGGAAATGTTTAATTAATTTAGTGAACAAACTTTGGAGATTTAACTATAAAATAGGCAAAATAGGGATTAGGTTCCACAAGCCACCCAGAAGCATCCTTATTTCATGGTTTCACCTTGTTTTTTAAAATAATCGTTCATAAGCACAGAATTTGTATGCTGATCAGTCATTAATGTATTACTCAATATAGTTATCATTTCTTAGTCATCAAAGCATTGTTAGTTTAAGCAACAATATACTTGAGAGTAATAAAACATTTCAAAAATATTCTACAATTCAGAAGAATTTATTTCCCCCACAAATTAGTGCAATTTCAGTCTTCAAAAAGAGTCCAAATACTGCCCTAATTTTCCTTCCCCACTTGCACAATGGCGCCTCATGTAGACAGCTGTCTTCAGAGGGACAGACAGACTACGAAAAGAATACTTTCCGGTTCTACTTCTAATTCATATAAAAGATGGTTGACTAAGTGACATCAGAAAACTCTTTGTAATGTAAATTATCACTAAAGGAGCAAAGGAGGGATGGTTTGGATTGTTCAATCTGCAGAGAAAATTCAAACTTTTATTATCAGCCATTAAAATCCTTAATTAAAAAAAAAGATACAAATCACCATCACCAGTCCTAAACAGCTTTTCTCAAAACCAGACTGATGATGTAATAGATTTTGTATAGAAATATAGAATTATCACTTTTTGATGATTTTTAATATAATAAATATACCTGTGAAACTTAATAAAAAAAACTTTGTATATTTGTAATAAAAGTTACGTGACTAAGAAAGAAATATTTTAAAATATATTCTCTATAAAAATAAGAGGGAGAGAAAAGAAAGAATTAGAAAAAAAGAAAGGAAAAACTTGGACTTAATGAATCTCCTCATTCACTGCACAACTCAAGTTCTGTTACAAAGAATAAAAAATGTGTAAACCTGAATCCTGATGACCCTCCTCTCTGTCCTGGGAGCTCCATCCAAAGTCAAAACTCCCCTGTTGGTTCTGCCAACCACCTTCCCTGACCTCAACTCAACTCCTGTTTTTCTGTGGCCTCCGGCTGCTAGATATGGTGGGATATTATTGGTGGCTGCCTGAGGACCAAAGGTACACAAAGCCTTTCCCCAGTCTGTCATGGCAATCACTAACAAACCTCCTGGCATGGTAGATAATCTGCAGCTGAGGTGAAAGGACCAGATCACCTGAGTTCTCCAGGATAGTAAAAGCCCAGCGTGCAGTTGGGTGGCTATCCTCCAGACCCTCCAAGTTAGGTATGAGAACGCTCAGACACTTGAGAGCCTTCTGTGAGAAACATAATCGGTATGCATGCCTTGTTCATCTCTATCAACACAGCAATATTTTCCTGACTCTGTCTCTGCTGGAGTACGAGGGTAACGTGTGGGGTGGTGAGTTTTTCCCAGCAAGAAGATGTGTTTAATTAGAAAAAACTAGGACTCAGGGCAGGGATTGGCCCCGACCATCTCCTTACCAAGTTTTCATTGGTCAGCCGGGTGATCTCGTGCTGCAGGCTGGCCTCGATGCGCGCCTCCGGCGGCAGCTGCAGGTTCTGGGCCAGCAGCTGCTGCTGCCGGTTATTCTCCTCCTTCAGGCTCTGGATCTCCCCACGGAGGGCCTCGGCCTCGCTGTCATGGCTCCTCTTCTGTGACTGGAGCTGGGACTCCAGGAGCCTAGGGAGAAGCCACACAGGGAGGAAGAGGAGATGACACCCCCAAGTCTCCTGCCTAGTGGGATATGGTACTCACTTGCAAGGGTAGGAAAAGCAGATACTCATTAGCTTCCATGTATCTTCTGACTTGATCAAAGTCAAGAAACTCCAGCAAGCGCCAGCAGTGGAAGCGCATGCTCTCACACTGTGTCTGTCTCACACTGTGTCTGTCAGAATGGGGCCTGCTACAAATACAAAGTGCTCAAAGGCCCTAAGGACAGGAGAGTTTAGCTCTTTTGAAAAGTTCATAGAAATGATGACTAAAATAAATCAATCAGAGGACACTGTCTTTCTCACAAAATAACTACAGAGGGCCAGATTACAGCCTCCCAACTATTATAACTAAATGTGTATTTAAGAATTTCAGAATTGTTAATTTCAGGCAGAGAGTGGTGGACCAGGGTCCCATTTTTATTTTCTGTTCTTATCTCTGAAGTACAGAGAGGCTGGGGCACTACTTTGAAATATATACAGATTTACCCAAATCTAGACATATAGTTCTGAAGTTTGCGTATATATACACACCTATATATTTAAAATTTGTCATCTCTCTCCCCATAAGCTTACTTATCAGTAACAGAATCTTAACAAGACATGGTTTTAGAATACAAAGATCAGTAGGACCAACAACGTGGTTACTGCTTCTCCATGCAAACATACAGGAGTCAGCTCTGCCCATGAGGAGACCAGACCATTGACAGTGACAGCACCACAGTCATAGTATCCTCCCTTTACCATCACCCCCATTTCTACATGAACCCCTTTTCCAAAAACAAAAGAAAGTTATGGTTAGGTATTAACTTGCATTAAGAAAGAAAAGACATTCTTTTATTCTAATCCCCTTGGTTGGCAACCACTTGGTAAAATTTAGCAATGTGACTGCAAACAAATTTACAGTAGACAAATATTTTAGTGATTACAAAATTTCAACAGAACTTAAACCTATAACACCCGAAGTTAATGACAAAGGTTTATGATTAGAACAAATAAAGCAGAATAAGCAGAAGCCCCCTGAACAAACAGAATATTAAGTATTCTTAAAATTTAATTACTAAAATGGTATTTTTATGAGACTTTTGAGACACAAATGTCACTAGAGCAGTTGAGTGTTTAGAAAGGTGTTGCTGTTTCAATTTTATTTGCTTTCCCCTAAACATATTTGCTGTGTTGAGTTTGAGTAATTACTCTGAACTGCAGCAATGTAGGAAACCACAAATTTGAACTTCACAGTAACCACACAGAATGCCAAATCACACACTTAATGTTGCTTTCAGGCAGTATGATGATAATACACAACAATGTAGCCACGCTGCCACAGGCAGTCTATCCTGTAGATTGATCATTATCCCAAACAAGAAATCACTGCCTAAATAACAGAACATTTGGGTTCTTAGTTGTAATGTTTCATTTTTCGTTTTCGTCTAACTCCTAGCAAGAGATATGCACAAATTTTAAGCCTGAGGGCAACTCTAGAAAGCATCCTTCACTTACAGGAGGCAACTCTTGCATCCACTATCAATCAGCTTCAGCTTTAATGGCATCCCTTAGTAGAGAAAGTTTTTAAGAAGGTGTTTGGGTGAATGCTTGTTTTACTGAAACTAATTTACCCAGGAAAACAATAAATGCATAAGAAATATAGGTGTTAAAGTCAGGAGGCCACTGTTAGTAAGAAAAACAACAAATTAGTAACATTCCATCTTGGAGGAGACAAATATAACCTGTTGGCTTGTTTTAACCCTTCATAAACCAGCCACAGCTCTCCATCCTCATTCAACTCATGGCAATCCATAGCAGACCATCTTCCATGCAAAATGAACAACAATGCAAAACACAAAGGGATACAGGATGGTAATGAGATGATGATCGTCAAGAGCAGCACATGGCATTTAAATATTTTATTAAGCAAATAGGATTGTTTTTATTAATTACAGATGACTTTAAGACAATACCACAAAAAGAATTTTTGGTTAACTAAAAAAAAATGTGTATTCAATATCATCACATATACAATGGGTAGAAATTAAAGCAAAATAATCAAGGATCTAGAGCAACTTTTCCTGCGAAATAAATGACTGAGAAGGTGTGAGAGAAGTTCTGTTTTTAATATTTTAATTATTCACAAGAGTAATCTTATATGTCACATATCATATTAGAGATTAATCATGACAGACACATGACAGAATGAAAACTTCAGTTGTTCTCTTCATGTAGCAATCTCCACAGTCCACTTCATAACAAAGTTTTAAGTCTTTTGGATAGGAGCTTGATTTGGCTTAATAAAATCTGATTTCTCATTTAAAAAATTATTTAAACATTTTTTATTGGAGTCAGTTATAAATAAGGATAGGTCCAAAGTTCTCAGCTTTTGAGACACGGCTTTAAACATTTTTTGTGCGTCAAAAAATTAACTATAAGACCTGGAGAAACTACTTTTGTATTAGAGATATGACTTCATGTAACTCGTAACCTCTCTTCACACTAAGCTTCAGTTATTGAAAGCTGCAGCTGCAGCTGGCCCTCCAAATTTCACAAACAACCATACTGAAAAACAAACTAAATTGACTGTCCAAGACATCCAGTACTGGGCACTGGATAGTTTCCTCAAGGCTAAGACCCTAAATCTACAAAAATGTCTTCCCTTGATGCAAAGAATATTTTCCTGACACCTCTAATTATCAGTAATGCTACCTTATATTATAAATGAGATTTTAACTGGGAATACATTGGAAACCTTGGATTCCCTTTGAAGGTCAGCTGATGTCCAATAAAGCAATGCATAAAAACTTTGATTTACTGTACAAGAGGCTAACTTGAAGGCTAAAGATCAAGAGGACTAAACCAAAATAAATAAAAAGAAGGATCCAACTTACCTGTTTGTTTCTTTCAAACCAATATATGCTTGTGCTATTTCTCCTTTATCTTTCATTTTCTGTACATCTTCCAAGAGTATTATGGAATCTGTCATTGTATTCTGAAGGGGGAAATGACACATTTCCACATTAAGATATAACTCAGAAGCTCTGGACCACATACATTTCATTCCTCCAGAGAAGGGGGTTTATGGAGCCCTGATGGCGCAGTGGTTAACAGCCCAGCTGCTAACCAAAAGGTTGGCAGTTTGAATCCACCAGCCACCCCCTGGAAACCTTATGGGGCAGTTCTACTCTGTCCTATAGGGTCGCTATGAATCAGAATTGACTCTACGGCAAAGGCTTTTGGGAGGCATAAATGGTTAAGCACTGGACTACTAACTGAAAGGTTGGTGGTTCAAATCTACCCAGAGGTACCTTGGAAAACAGGCCTGGTGATCTGCTTCCAAAAGGTCACAGCCTTGAAAACCCTATGGAGCAGTTCTACTCTGCACACATGAGGTTGCCATTAGTCAGAATTGACTCAACAGCAACTCATAACATGTGCTCCACCACACCTCTGCCTCACCCATCGGCCTTAGCTCTGTGTAACTATGGAGAAGAGGGTGGCATGGTGAGAAAGAAGCATGCTGATTCCCTCTCTTGATAACCTCTAATGCACTATGACTAAGTTATTAAGATCCTAGAGTGCCACTGCACTGTAAATAAAATCACTGACTGCCTATGTATATTTTGTATTATGTTAAATAAGTAAATTAATGACTTAACTTTGTATAAAAAGTACAGCATTAGAAAAATAACCAGGCCAGAACACTGAACATTTATTTAATGTAACGCACAAAGCTGTTCTTTCTACTACAGTCATGCGTTGCTTAACGTCAGTCCACGATATGTTCTGTGAAGAAGGATGTTATGTGATTTGGACATTGTGTGAATACTGTATTATAAACAGGCAGTCCCTGGGTTATGTTCAACTTATAGTACAGACTGCCAGAAAGCCTATTACATTAAAAATTTGAGTTAAATACATATAATGTTTGTAATAAGAATCCACGCACTACTTTGTGATGCTCATGAAAACAGTGTACAGTTTGGAAGTGTTTTTTAAGTGTTATGTCCACTACGTCCTGATCTCCGATTGGGATTTCTAAACTCTATTATAACCTTATGGGACCACAGATGCATACGCAGTCAGACTTGCCCGAAAGGACATTATGCGGCATGTGACTCTACTTACCAACCAGTTAGAACGAAACAAGCACTTCAATAAAACACTGACAGTTTGACATAAAGTTCATTTTTCAATTAAAAACTCAGTACAAATAAGATGGTGTTCAGATGATACGCTTCAGCAAAACTACAATTTTTTTCTCACATCTTTAGGTATAAATAAATGGAAAATGGAAAAGATTTAGCTCCTTGTAAATATCTACCATCTCCTGTTATTCAACTTTTTTTTAATTGTACAGTATAACATAGTACATAAGCTTTTGAATGAAACATCTGGCAGGTCAAAATTACTAATATTTTATATAAAAGCCTTTTCTGCTACCATTTTTACTTTCTTTTTTTATTTCTTACTTTTCGTCTAATCTATCTGACAACCAATGTAATTTCACAATCTTGCTTCTACTCAACTACTCTCTCTCTCTCCTAAATACCAAGGAAAGAATGGACAATAAGAATCACTGCTTTACAGCTTTTAAAGAACAATACACTTTAGAACCCAATGGCCCATTCTATTTGTCTAAATAGTAAATGTCTGATCAACGTTTGCTCTAAAGTCAAGTCTCACAATGAAGTGGACTTAATAGAATACACTTCAAATGCCATAATCTTAAGACACCAGTTCAAGAGAACCTTAATGCCAGCTAGAGCCCTAGAAAGAAATACAAATGCTTGCTTTTGAATTTCAATGTTTATAAGAAACATCCTTAAAAAAAAAAAAAACTTTTCTCCAAATGCTGCCTTTCGTGAGTTTATCAATGTCCACTGAGAAGACCAAATAAAACCTGATAAGAGCTATAAACACAGAGCTTATATTATACTGAATTTTTAAAATTTTTCTCACAAACACCACATACAGCATTTAACTATATTTTATAAATATGTTACTACATATTTCATAGGGAATTTCTTCTCCTTCCCTGAAAGGCAGAAAATATTTCCATTCCATAAAGAGCCATACTCAGATTTTTAAAATCCATAAGTAATAACTTTCAAAGACCCAGGCTTCTGTATTAAATAATGCTTCACGTGTTCTGATATCTGAGGACCTACATGGCCTCAGTTTTGAACTTTTGGGAAATTGGGTAACTTGGCCTAATTAACTAGTCCAAGAGAAAGATAGGCTTCTTAGTATGCTGTTGTCCTAGGTAATAAGCAGACAGTCCTTTCCTCGTCCTGCCAACCTTAGCTAAGAAGTGATGGGCAGAGGATGGGGTGATCGGAAAGGCAGATATCAGACTCGGATCACCAGCACTAGAAAGCTCCTGACTCTGCTCTGTTTGTCTCCCTGAGCCAGTGACCAGAGATTCTGAAAGGGTTGTACTATGTAGGAAAATCTTAGCATATCTGTCACTCAATAGCTCAAACAAGATGTCGTAGAGAAATCCAACTCTGCAACCTCATCAGGTGCTACTCTGCATTCCAGCTATGGATCCTAGCTTGGGGAAAGAGCAGGGGCAGCGAAGAAGTGCTCAGCTCTTCAGGCTCCTCTTCACTCTTGGCCAACAAACCCACAGCTTGTAGAAATGAGAGCTCTGGAGAGCCTGTGCTCTTGAATGCATTTCAAGCTAGGGCTCCATCTTCCCAGCTTGTGGGAAGCCCACCATAACTAGCAGATTGAGTCACAGAACTGACTGTGGATTAGAAATCATGAAGACCCCTCTATGATCCAGACCCGAACCTAGAACATCCATTATTTTCCCACTGACTTCCCAAATAGGAAGTAGTCAAATACAAAACTAATCTGCAAATATCAAAATAGACTCTGGCCAGGAAGCATCAATCACATGTACTGGAGGACACCTATAAACTAAAATTAGGATTAAACAGAAGTATTTCCTCAACAACAGAAGGACAAACAACCCAATTTAAAAATGAGCAAAGGACTTGAATAGACATATCTCTAAAGAAGATACACAAATAAAAGGCTAGTAAGCACATGAAAAGATGCTCTAGGTCATTAGTTATTAAGTAAATGCAAATTAAAACCACAATGAGGTATCACCTCACACCTACTGGAAACAGAAAATAACAAGTACTGATGAGGATGTGGAGAAACTGGAACCCTTGTACATTGCTGGTGGGGATGTAAAATGACACAGCCACTATGGAAAACTGTAGTGGTTCTTCAAAAGTTAAACATAGAATTACATTCTATGACATTATACAACCTAGCTATTCCACTCCTATGTATATACCTGAGCCCTGAAAACAGGGACTCATACAGGTATGTGTACACCAAAGTTCACTGCAGCATTTTCACAAAAGCCAAATGGTGGAAAAACCCAAGTGTCCATCAACAGATGATGGATAAACACAATGTAGTATATGCATACAATGGAATATTATTCAGCCTTGAAGAGAAATGAAATTCTGATACCTACTATGACCAGGATGAACCCTGAAAACATTATGCTGAGTGAACTAAGCCAGACACAAAAGGACAAATATTATATGATCCCACTTACATGAAATATGTATCTGGAACAGGCAAATGCATAGAGACAAAGGGTTATTAGTGGTTACCAGGGCCTAGGGGGAGGAGGGAATGGGAGTTACTGCTGAAGGGGCCCTGAGTTTCTGTTTGGGGTGACTGAAAACTTTTGGAAATGGACAGTTGTAATGGTAGCACAACACAGTGAAATTTTTTTGTTATATATTTCACATTAATAAAATTGTTTAAAAAGAGAAATATATTTACTAAAAACTTTGAAAGCTTATAATTACCTTGTCATCCTGAAAACCACAAAGTCAGCAAGCACAAGAAAACAAATGGAAGAAAACAGTAAACTCTTAGTTCCATAAATTCCATCAAGAGTGCCCATCATAACAGATAAATCTGCAAAAACACCCATGAGTTGTTTCTCCTAAAATTAGCCCTATAAATAAATTAAAATTCACAGAACTGGCTTGAGGGGACACTAATGTTAATCTACATGATGGCAGTTTTTATTTCTCAGGAACAAGTGCTTAAGATTCTTTTTGAGATATTTGGTTTTTCTGGTTGTAAAATACGTCACAGAATGTCTCTCCTGTAAGTACATGGATGAAATTCTTATCCTAGGTCTGTAAGAGTTACTGTAATGCCCCAGCTGAGGTTACTTATCCAAGTGAAGCCTCCCGAAATCCTTGTGGAGGTGGAGCAGGTAAGTGAGCCTGGGCTGGGCTCACTGGGTGTCATTCAACACTGCCCTGCACAGCAGTTGTGAAATGGCATGCCTCCCTGACTGGAAACTGAGTGGGACAACACAGCCCTGGGGTGTCTGAGAGGTCTGAATCAGTGTCATGGGCATTTTTCCAAGGAGAAAAACAAGACTACTGAGACAGAAACAGAACGGCCACTGCAGTGTGTAGGCTGGGAGCTGGGAGGTCGGGGGCTTGGTTAGACAGGGTCAACCTATTAGAGGCTAGACTGCAGCGGTATTTACATGGATATGTGAGTGGGGTAAGTGAGAGTGTATGAGGCCAGAACTATCTGCTCTCTTAGCTGTATTTTTTTTAAGTTCCTTGGTTCATTTTTCTTCTCTTTTCCCTTAACTTTTACTACAATGCCTTGTGAGAATACCAGTTTGTCACAAGGGAAGTAGAGAAAGGAATCTTGATTGTGACTCTGTTCCACAGGGGTCTTGTTTCTCAAGGCCCAGCTAGAGTGGTAGCCCTGGGAGTCAACTGTGACTGTCCCTGGGAAGGTGACAAGCCAAAATGGAGAGCCCCCTTGTGGAACTCTTCTCATTTCAGACTTAAGAGGCTCATGATCTGTTTAATAAGGGAGTCCATTTCTTTACATAACTCTACTTGCTACTGGGCCTTTTTCCAAGAGTATTTGGCCACATATCTCATGTTCAGATTTTGATATTTCCTCAATGAGTGAGTTCCCTTTATCAAATCCAAACATATGTAACAGGTACAGTGTCTTAACCACGTGCAGAAACGCCATTTCTAAGAGGAGTACTCTCAGACTTTTCAAGCATCCGGTTCATTATACATTATGGACATGTTTTATGTGGCAGGTCATGCAGTTGGGATGCTTCAGTTCCTGGGAACTGTATGCACATGGGAAGGGACACAGGCCAGGTTTTCAAAGCAATTACTCAGATATTCCCTCTGATGGAAAATGACAAAAAGGTGGATTTCTCATCAGCATACAGCATACAGAGCATAGGGAAGAACTTTAAAAGGCATCTAGATCCCCCAGTGTTTGGGTCCTTTTTGTTGCAGCCTTGAACACAGCCCCTCCCAGCTGGGACAGCTCCCCTATTAAACAGAGTCCCTGAAGTGAGCAGTGACCGTCTCCCTGCAACTTCCACTCGCTGATGCCATTTCTGACCTCTTCACGTTACCTTTCATAGCTAAACAGGCTACTGTTATCACATTGTTTTAAAGTAGCATTTACTGCCTCCTGCAGCAAGTAAATTTATAAATTTAACAGTATACAAGTGGATTTTCAAATTTAATAGTATTTTACTTTAGGCTGAAATTTATTGCGGCTGGATTACTTTCAAAGATTCATTTTAAAAGCCTTTGCTCATGAGCAACAGGTGAAACTCTGAAGGTCTTCTGGGATTTCACTATGCTCATGAGCGAGAGGCAAAACTCTGAAGGTCTGGGATTTCACTAGCGTTTGGCTCACTCCAACTGTTCAACAGTTTTAAAACAACAGTGAATTTTTTTTTTAATGATGAATCCGAAATTAGAATACAAAAGCTCTTAGGTATTTGCTTCATCATAAATTGGAGGAAAAGACTAAGAAGAAATGGAGGCCAGTTTAGCCATCTGCTCGTGCTTACCTTGGGTTGGATGGCCTCTTTCTGGCTCACCAGCTGAGACCTCAAGATGAGGACCTCCTCCTTGCGGACATCGAGCTCCTCGCTCACAGAGGTAAGCTGCTCCATGAGGACTCGATAGGCAGGTGCGCCCGGAGCGGTCACCTCTGGAGCACCCTTCTCACTAAGGGCCTTGCGTAACTCATTCAGCTCATTTTTCAGTTTTTTGTTTTCTGATTCTAGTTCTTGACGCTGTATGAAGAGACAAAGAAAAGTTCATTGTTGTCATCCTCAACTTTACACTGGAATACTGAGCTTCCCCCAAGCTGGTAGAAGAATTCTGTTGGAAAAGATTATCAGAGCTACCCCAGTGTTCTGTTGAAAACTCTGCTCTGCAAATTAAGGAAGTCTTATATCAAGTGGAATTGAGCAAGATGAAAGGTAGTCTGCTTCATCAACACAAATTCCGGAATAAAATTTACTCTAGGTCTGCTCAGGGTGTGTTCACAGGCGTGGAGAGATTACTGAGTTCCATGAGGCGAGTGTGCCCAGTCGTAAGGAGCCCAGGTTTGTCTGGGGGTCAATATAAGTGCAAGTCTGAGTTATATTTCTAATACAAAGTTCAGAATGGGGAAATCCTTGAAATCTTTTTTCTTTTTTTTTATTGTACTTCAGGTGAAGGCCCACAGAACAAACAGTTTCTCATGAAACAGTAGCACACATACTGTTTTATGACATTGGTTAACAACCCCACATGTCAACCCTCTAACTTCTC